TTGAGACGACAAAAAGTTTAACCCTTTTTTTTTTGTATCATGATAAACACGTTTTCACTAAGAAGTTTTATAGCGACCACAAAAGTATATATTCCATTGATCCCTTCCTTCGAAATAGAAGATTAAAACGATTATGTTAACATGGAATGCAACAAACCCTACAAGATGTGATTGATTTGTGACTGATGGCTTCGATGTAGAAGAAAGACACCTGAGATGCATGCATGGCAGCATGTGTGCAGTGTTGGCTGAAGAACAAAAAAAAAAAAAATGCAACGTTCCAGCTAGTGCAGAACTTCTGTACAGCCCAAGCCATTCAATCTCCTAGCTTTATTCCGAAATCAGAAAAATCAGAACAAGAATTCTGTAGTCGCGTCTTGTGCCAGGTATGTGCCAAAATACGCCGAGTATCAATTACTTTTTATTTGCGACTCTTCGCTACTCCTGAAAACTAACGAACGAAGTGCAAACCATCTACAAAATATTCTCAGTCAGTGTATGAAGATTGCTCAGAAAAAAAATATCAACAAGTTTCTTCTAATATCAACCTTAAATATGGGTAGCCCCTATTGGACGACACAATTGGCATCAGGCCAGCACGGCACTACGGGCTAAACTTGCCATGCCATCCAGCGAGCCCAACCTTAGGCCCAGACAAATGCCTAATGCAGTAATGCGACCACATGTGTTATCTAGCGAGCACGGTGAGGAAGCAAGGCATCGGAGGATGACATGCCAAAAAGACCTGTCTGGATTTTGGTAATTGAATGACAAAATTTGTGCACTAATGATTTCAAATGTGAGATGAAATATTGAACATAGTCCACAAGCAAGGTTGAGCTACATGAAGCCATGAAGTGTAGATGGCATGATGCATGTGATGCAAAAACTCAACAAGGTGAATGTGAAGAGACGGAAGTATTGGAGAAGATGAAAGACAAGTGATAACACGTCCACTTGTATCATCACGCATACACGTCTTTTTGCACAACTTCCCCTGTGTGACGATCGAGCAGCATGGGACATTTTTTTATGTAACTGGAGGGGCAGTAAGCCCATACAGGAATTTATTCAAAAGATAAAAAAAGGTTTTAGAGTACAACAGTTTAAGAAACAAAGAAAGACAAAAAGAAGAGAAAAACAAGAAGAAAGATTACAACAGATTTTGGATCCATAGGTCAAAAGTTTGAGAGAATTTTGCCTCTGCCCTTAGAGACAATATCTTCATCTCTTTTTTGTAAATTTCCTTGACTCTCGCTACACTTGGGTAAGCCCCTTTGAAGATGAGATCATTCCTGACTGTCCAAATGGACTAGCACAACAGAATTATAGTCTGCATAAAGAAGGAGGGATGTGCCTGATCCTTAATCTGCTGAATAGCTTGAGGGACAAAAGCTTCATTCTGAATTGTAATTCCAATTGAATTCCAACAGTCACGAGAGAATTGACAGTTAAGGAAAAGATGATGAATTGTTTCTTCTTCTGAATTCTAACAGAGGACACACTCAAAGGACTCAAGCTGCATGTTTTTCCTCCTAAGAATGTTTCTTGTACTTAGGCAATCTTTTAAGAGCAGCCAAGAAAACCTTATGTTTAGGCTGGCAAAAGAAATCCCAAAGCCATTTGAACACTTGCGGCACCTGTCTATGACCCACCAGAAATCTATAAGCTTTGGATGGTGAAAAGTTACCCCAGTTGCACTTCTAGTTGTCCTTTTGATCTGTTAAAGGGAAGTGTTCGACGAAAGACTGAATCAATTGTAGTTGCTCAAAAGCTTCAGCAGACAGAGGCAAATTGAAGGCAATTTGGGGTTGCTGCAGAGCAAAGAACTTGCTGACAGTGATATATTTATTTTTGGCAAAAGAGAAGAGCTGAGGATATTCAGAGCTCAAAGGTTGTTGATTCCATTTGTCAGCCCAAAAGAAGCAAGACTGGCCAATCTGAACTTGGATATAAGAGAGGGATTTGAAGCAGTCCAGCAATTTCAAAATGTCTCTTCACCAAAAAGATCCTTTCTTAGTATGGTTGGGGAGCTTGCCATTTGAATAGTGTTTTTCCCAAACAAGAGAGACCCAGGGAATATCTTTTTTATTAAAGAATTTGTCAAGATTTTTTAGCAGGAGGGCTTCATTCTGTTTTTGCAGATCAATTACTCCCAAGCCACCTTCCTCTTTAGGAATACAAACCATCTCCCAAGCAGCTTTTGGGATTTTCTTGGAGTTAACATCAGAACCCTGCCAGAGGCAGTGCTTTCTGAATTTGTCAATTTGTTTAATGACTCCTTTAGACAGGGCAAGAGAGCCGAGATGGAAGGTGGGTAGGGCAGATAGAACATCATTAGTCAACTCCAATTTGCCTGCTTGTGATAAGAAGGTAGAGGTACAAGCCAGTCTTCTTTCACACTTATTCACCAAAGGAAGAAAGTCTTCAATTCTTGGTTTAGTCAAACTTAGAGGCAGCCCCAAGTAGGTGAAAGGGAGAGATCCTTTGGAGCAGCCAAAGGTACTAGCCAAATGATTGAATTTTTCCTCAGAAAGGTTAATAGGCACCATGAGGGATTTGTTGTAATTAACTTTTAAACCAGTGGACTCAGAGAAAGATGATAATACAGACTTTAGGAAGAACAGTTGTCTGGCATCCCCTTCCATGATGATAAGGGTATCATCGGCATATTGGATAACAGGGAAATCAGAAGAGAAGTTCAGTGGGATTGGAAGAGTCAAGAGGCCATCATTTTTTGCCTTGTTGAGGATGGATTGTAGCATATCAGCTGCAAGGACAAAGAGAAGAGGTGAGAGGGGATCACCCTGCCTCACACCTCTCTTACAAGGAATGGTCTTACCAGGAATTCCATTGAGCAACACATTTGAGGTGCCAGAACCAAGAATGTTTTGAATCCAAGACAGCCAGAGATTGCCAAAGCCTTTGGCCTCAAGAAGCTTGAGGATAGTGGAGTGCTCAATTTTGTCGAAAGCCTTTTCAAAATCAAGTTTAAGGATGATCACCTCTTTTTTGGAATGATGACAAAGATGGAGATATTCAAAGGCCCATGCAAGACAATCTTGAATGGGTCTGCTATTGATAAACCTATATTGATTTTGGTGAATTAAAGGAATGATGGAACCCTGGAGCCTGTTGGTAAGAAATTTAGTAATAATTTTCATGGAACTATTAAGAAGAGAGATGGGCCTAAAGTCAGAGACAGAGGAATGACTCTAAGATTTAGGAATCAAGGTAATGAAGGAGGAGTTGATGCTTTGAAGGCACACATTGTTGGCCTGAAAGTCCCAGCAAAGGTTGTAGAAATCAGTTTTAATTGTTGACCAACATTTCTTGATGAATTCATTGCTGAAACCATCAAGGCCGGGGGACTTGTCATTAGGGAGGTGTTTAACCACATCATCAATTTCAGCAGCAGTAAAGGGTTGCGCTAGTGATTCTAGTCCCTCATGGGTTTGGATAAGAGAAGGTAGATCAAAGAGAATTCCTTTAAAATCAGACTGCCCAATTCTCTGCTTAGAAAAGTCCCAAAGCAGCTGCTCCTTATCAGAATGAGAGGTCACAGTATCCTCACTTTCTGTTTTTAGGCTGGCAATCATATTTCTTCTATGCCTTATAGTGGCATTGGCATGAAAAAACTTAGTTCCAGCATCCCCCAGAGTTGCCCATTTAACAGCCCCCCTTTGCTTCCAATAAATTCTCTGTTGTTCAAGTAATGCCAATAGCTTTCCTCTTAAGATACATATGAAGTTTCATTCTTGCAGACTCAGGTCTCTATATTCCTCCAAAGTTTCCAGAAACTGCAGAGTTGTAGAGATATTTGCAATGCTAGTCTTAAGGTTGGAAAGACTAGAACTCCAAACTTTGAGGTCTCCTCTTAGATTCTTGAATTTGCTCGTGATAATTCTAGCTTTGTCTGTCAGGTGAGGAGAGGCAGACCAGTTTTCATTCAATAGGGCTTGAAAATCATTCTTAAGCAACCAAAAATTTTCAAATCTGAAGATATGAGCTTTCGAAATATCAGTTGAAATTGAGATGGTCAAAGGACTATGGTCAGAGACTTCCATTGCTAGAGCTTTACAGGTGGTTTCAGGATAGGTGAGTGTCTAACTGTTATTGGTAAACATCCAATCAAGTTTTTCCAGGAGAGGGGGGTTTTGCATGTTGGACCAAGTAAATTTTCTCCCTTGGAGAGGAATATCAGTTAATCTCAGATGACTAATGGTGCTATTAAACATGAACATCTCATTCATATCTGCTCCTTCCCTGTTTCTATTTTCAGGACATCCGTAGAGGTTAAAGTCTCCAAGGATGATCCAATCTTCATTCTGAGGAATCTGTACAGTTTTGAGCCAATTAGTGAACTCCCTTTTTCCTTCTGTGACACAGGGTCCATAGACGTTCATCAAGGTCCAACCGTCCAATCGTTATCATTAAGTCTGGAGGGAAACTGATAGCCAAGGTAGTGCTGTTAGCAAATTTAAGAGTACCAGAGAATAACACAGCTTTCCAAGCAACTAAAAGTCCCCCAGAGGCACCCACCGAGGGCAAAAAAAAAGGAACTCATCAAAAGGAGCTGGAGCAGCATGGGACATTGGAACATCCTTTAATCTTCCTCCAACCAAACGGCCCGCCGTCTCCTAATCTCCCCACGCACACCCACTACGCCACGCAGTTAGTAGTTTCGTGCCATGATGCATGCATGCTAAATTGCTAATCAAGACGGGACTCCAAGAGGCAACGACCTATGCACGCACCGCACGCAAAGGTCGCAACTCTCGCAAGCATGTATCGTCATGGCGTCCCGCCTCTGCCCTAGGCCTTAGCCGTGGCACGATGTATCGCCGTTACTATATAAGCGCACTCCTATGCACAAGTGCTAGATACCCACATGTGCAAAATTAAACGAACACTGATCGACGATAACGTTGCAAGATTGCATCTTGTCGATCGATCATCGTAAACGTTGGCTTGTTAGCTTGTATATACACACAGACACAATGGCGAGCAGACGGGCGATCTTGTTGGGTTTGGCCGTCGTGGCCCTAGCGGCTGCCGCATTCGTGCGAACCGGCGACGGCGCCGGCGAGGCCGGCAACAACGCCGCTGCCTTTGCCAGGGCGAGCGGGACGCGCTTCACGCTAGGTGGGCGGCCGTTCTACTCGAACGGGTTCAACGCGTACTGGCTCATGTACATGGCGTCGGACCCGGCCGACCGGAGCAAGGCGACGGCCGCTCTGGATGAGGCGGCCCGCGTCGGCGCCACGCTGGTGCGGACGTGGGCGTTCAGCGACGGGGGCTACCGGGCGCTGCAGGTGTCGCCCGGGGTGTACAACGAGGAGGTGTTCAGGGTATGTATGTCGTATCGGACGGCGGTCGAACTATTAGCTCAATCAAGTTATATCATGTTATTATTTACATATATAGCAACTTAATTGCTCTCCTTCTATATATTTCGGCTTTTCGGCTCTGATTTTTGTATTCTATATATATGCATGGATGAATGGATTTTGTGCATTATTGTGCTCTGAAATTTTTCTTCAGTTTGCCAACATTGACAGATATAGTATCCACGATGGTAATAAAGTAACATCATGTTGTTGTAAAAAAAACAGTAACATCATGTTCTCTCTGTAACTCTCAGGGTCTGGACTATGTGATATCCGAAGCAAAGAAGCGCAGGATCCATTTGATTCTGAGCCTGGTGAACAACTGGGATGGGTACGGCGGGAAGAAGCAGTACGTGCAGTGGGCAAGGGACCAGGGGCACAGCCTGAATTCTGATGATGACTTCTTCACAAACAGCGTGACCAAAGGGTTCTACAAGAACCATGTCAAGGCCCGTCCACCACTCCATCATAGTCCATAATGTGTAAATAATCATATGCACTATAGCATTTATCTCAAGACACCTGATGCACCATTCTGTGTGCCCACATTCACAGGCGGTCCTCGCTCGAGTGAACAAGGTCACCGGAGTGGCGTACAAGGACGACCCGACCATCTTCGCGTGGGAGCTCATGAACGAGCCTCGCTGCCAGAGCGACCTCTCCGGGAAGACTCTGCAGGCGTGGATCACGGAGATGGCCGCCTACGCCAAGTCCGTGGATCCCAACCACATGATGGAGATCGGGCTCGAAGGCTTCTACGGCGAGTCCACGCCTGATCGCAAGCACAACTTCAACCCGGGCGGCTACACCGTCGGCACCGACTTCATCTCCAACAACCTCATCCCCGGCATCGACTTCGCCACGATCCACTCCTACCCCGACCAATGGTAAGTTCTAACGACACTCAAGGTACATGCGTGAATGCACGGCGACCGCGCTGAGAACGGCTACCGTACCGGTCCGGTGCAGGGTGCCCGGCGCGAGCAACGACGCGCAGGTGGCGTTCATGCGGCGGTGGATGGCGTCGCACGCCGGCGACGCCGCGGCGGTGCTGCGGAAGCCGCTGCTGGTGGCGGAGTTCGGCTGGTCCGCGCGGTCCAACGGCTACACGGTGTCCATGCGGGACGCCTACTTCCGCATGGTGTACGACGCGATCTACGCGTCGGCGAGCGCGGAAGGCCCGCTCGCGGGGGGCCTCTTCTGGCAGGTGATGGTGCCCGGGATGGAGAGCTGGACCGACGGATACGACGTCGTGCTCGACCGCAGCCCGTCCACGGCCGCCGTCGTCAGCCAGGAGTGCGCCCGGATCACCGGCCTCAACCAGGTGTCCTAGTCGTACTGGTTCATGCCAACACGCACGTTGTAGCTGTAATTCAAGAGCCACGGGCCAATTGATGTGCTCTAATGATTTAGAGTCATTCTAAGATCCTCCTTATATTCTTCTTAATTTATAGAAATAGGTATTTTAACGAAAAAATAACTAAAGGTTTTGTTAATTAGATCTTCGATATTGTCATCCTCTATTATCGAATTCTAGAGTGCATGACATATATAAGGAAAAAAAGGTTGGAAAGATAGAGAAAATATTTTTTATTTAAATAACTCTCTATGCGATGATTTAGAGAATAAATTTAAGAAAGACTAGAGACAATTAATACGTCCAAATCTTCGAAGGGAGAAATAAACAGAAGTTGACTAGAAATTAAATATGAAAGGTAACTGATCTTAGCAATCATTTTCACGGTATTAGTTAGGGGTGACATAATCAACCCTCAAATCTCTACTAGTGTTAAAATGTCCACTAAGTCTATTACGTTTTTCTGTATTTTCCAGTTTGGAAGAAAATTGGCTTGGCTTCATGATTAAATAGTGGCATTTGAACCTAGAGGGGTAAGGGCAACAACAATGCAAGCACACACCATCGTCAGCTTCAACAAAAAGTTGAAAAACACGTAGGCATGAAAAACTAGGCTACTAAGGGCTTCCCTAATGCAAGCAGATAGAATCATTAGCCTAGTATAAAAGTAGACTTCCACCTATGCAAGAGATGAAACGAAGCAATACTCCATTCAATATAGTCTTGGTCTCTTCACCACTCTTGCAGAGCTAAAAGCTTGCCATGATATAGCCTTTTTGTTTCTCTGCACCCAAAGCTCTCGATAGTAACTACTCCCTCCGTAAAAAAAAAAAAAGCAATCCTATGGTTTAAAATTCGTCCCACGAAAAATGCATACATAGAGCAAAGGCTGCCATATTCTCTTGTGGGACCCATCTTGAGTAAGTTGCTGCATGCAGAAAAAAAATCAGATGCAAGGCTCATGAACGATGTGGTGTCCTCTCCTCCACATGTTTGGGTCTTCTACAACATTCCGCACAGGCTTTTTTCCAGAGACTTTAACTGTGCAGGGGTATTTTTGTAATTTGGTATCATTTCTTGATAAACGTGTTTAATCCTACAATTGCATTTATTATTGGACGGTTAGAGCTAGTCTGCGATTTAAGTCTACATACGAGGTATAGGTTACTCTGCTACTCTGTATAGGTTACTCTGCTACTCTGCGAAACCATCGATACCTGTTACATACGAGGTAGAGCTTTAAGTCTACATGGAAGGTTAGAGCTAGTGGGCGTTGGGGCTGCTCTAAGCGGCAAGCAAAGAGTCTCGCCGGGTACAAACTGCTCGTTGGCACTTGGCCCGGTATAGAAATCACGCCTAAACAAAGATCTCTTGTGATAACTTAAAAAAGTGGTTCCCTGACGAAATGTTGCATCAAACGAAACATGTAGGCGCAGTCGGCAGCAATGCCAAGCACAGCGCCTCCAAAACCCGCATCAGCCTGGGCCTGTTCGGTAGGACTGAAAAATACTGTTCCGGCTGATTGTTGTGAGAGAAAAATACTGTTCTGACAGGACGTGAACAGTGATTCTGTGAGAGGAAAAATAAGCCAGCTGACTGGAAACAAGCCAGCCGAACACAGCCCAGGGCTCGAGGCGACGACACGCATGTGTCCGCGTTTAGGCGTCCCACCTTGCGCGCGCCCAGATGCTCCCACCTTGCGCGCCCCCATTGGGCAGCCCGTCGCGTCGCAGGCTGTCAGCGTCGTGCGGAGGCCGCCACGTTGCGCGCTCCGGAGCGGCGGAGCCCACCACCACACCACACCATGTTCTGTCCAACGAATGGGAGCTGGAAGAAAAAAAGCCTTGTCCCACCCGCGCGCTGCACCCAGCAGAACTTGTGACTCGCTGACATGCCGGCCTCGCCCGCAATTCGATCATCGCAGCCCCAGTCCCAGCACGAGAAGAGGCATCACCCACCGAATCAGCGGTGGCCGGTGGGCAGGCGCGAGATCTTAGGTGTACGGGTGCGGCGTGCGCGAGGCCAAAGCCCAAAGGGAGACTAGTACTTTATTCCCCGGCGCGCGCGGCCTCGGGCCTGGCGGGCGCTTTAAACGCCCCACACGGCTCCTCGGGAGCGACACCTGTCCACCCATTCCCCCCGGCCTCGCCTCGCCGCCGCGGTCTTGACCTCCCGCACCCGCGGCCAGACACCAGCGCGCGTCTTCCACCTCGCTTCTCAGGTTTCCCCCACCAAATTCCTCCTGATCCACGGAATTTCCCTCGCTAATTCTGGTATCTCCTGTCGCTAAGCCACTCTACTCCGCCTAACCCGTGCTCTGAGCTCACCTGATTGGCGGCTCCGTTCGGCCTCGGGCGTGCGCGTGCTTGAGAGGGCTCTTTCGAAGCGTCGATTGGGTTGAGTTTGCTGACCGACGCGAATCAGGGATGAATTTCTCGGGAGGAAGCGGGAAGCGGCAGCAGGAGCCGGAGCACCTGCCGCCGATGACGCCGCTCCCGCTGGCTTGGCAGGGGTCGGTGTACTCGCTCACGTTCGACGAGTTCCAGAGCTCGCTCGGCGGGGCCGCCAAGGACTTCGGGTCCATGAACATGGACGAGCTCCTCCGCAGCATCTGGTCGGCGGAGGAGATACACAACGTCGCGGCCGCGGCCGCCAACGCGTCGGCGGCGGCGGACCACGCCGCGCGGGCGTCGTCCATCCAGCGCCAGGGCTCGCTCACCCTCCCCCGCACGCTCAGCCAGAAGACCGTCGACGAGGTCTGGCGGGACCTCATGTGCGTCGGCGAAGGACCCTCCGCCGCGCCCGCCGAGGCTGCGGCGCCGCCCACGCCGGCCCAGCGGCAGCCCACGCTCGGGGAGATCACGCTGGAGGAGTTCCTCGTCCGCGCCGGTGCGGTGAGGGAGGACATGACGGCGCCGCCGCCTGTACCGCCGGCGCCGGTGTGCCCGCCTCCTCCGCCGCAGCCGCCAATGCTGTTTCCCCATGGCAATGTGTTTGCTCCCTTGGTGCCTCCGCTGCAATTCGGGAATGGGTTGGTGTCGGGGGCTGTCGGTCAGCAGCAGGGAGGTGGTCCTGCGGCCCCGACGGTATCGCCGCGGCCGGTGACGGCCAGCGGGTTCGGGAAGATGGAAGGAGACGACTTGTTATCTCTGTCGCCATCACCGGTTCCGTATGTTTTCGGTGGTGGTTTGAGGGCAAGGAAGCCACCAGCCATGGAGAAGGTGGTTGAAAGGAGGCAGCGCCGGATGATCAAGAACCGGGAGTCGGCCGCGAGGTCGCGCGAGAGGAAACAGGTAATGTTCTGTCTGTAAGTACATTAGTTTCCTGCTTACTAGTAACAGTTATACTTACACGTGTACCAGTGTAAGTTTAATGTTTACTGTATGTTTTATTTTTCCTCAACATGTTAAGTATTGTAAGAACGGTGTTGAGAAAATCTCACCATGGCAATTCTTTTGCATCAGATTTGCTTGAAATAAACTAGAATTTGTGACTTAATAGTGTGTATAGTAATAGTTATGCTCACAGTTCTTAAGGCGGTAAGGCGAGGCGCGGCGAGCCACCCCCTTCCAGACGCCTAGGCGCTTAAGGCGCGAGGCGAGGCGACGCCATACAAACATCTTAATATATATATTGCAACTAGAATTTAGAAGCTAACTATACCTTAATAGTTAGAATTTAGAAGCAAATCCTACCTTAATAGTTGGCTGCAGAGCAGAGAAGAGCCAAGCAGGCAAGCACAAGCAGACAAGCAGTCAACCGAATAGCAATCTAGCACAAGCATCCACCAAACCACAACGATTTATATACAACTAATAGCAGAAAGCACAGGAAGGAGCACATCTATCCAGGTCTTAACAATCTAGCACGAGCACAGGAAGCAGAGCAAAGGAAGCAGGGGAGGAAGCAGAGGAAGTAGGGGACTAGGGGAGAAAAGGACGTACGCGCAGGAGGCTGTGGAGAAGTCCAGAACGTGGAGCAGAGAAGGGGTCACGAATGAGGCGGAAGTCAGGGACGCGGATGATACTGGGGTCGCGCCGTCACGGATGTAGCAGAAGTCGCGCATGCAGCGGAAGTTGCGACCGGAAGCGAGCAGGGCACGCGACGGGATGGAGGAGGTAGACGCTGCCGCCGCCGCCGGATTCCAGGTGGACCTCCACCCTCTTCTCTTTCCCTCTCTCCTCCTTTCCCTCTCGACGGCGGGGACTCCAAGATTGCGAGGCCTCTTTCCTTTTCCCCCGCGCGGAAGGATATACTCCGCTTCGCGCGCACTCTCCCGCGCTTGTTTCCCCCCGCGTGCAACTCTCTCGCGCTTGTTTCCCTCCCGCGCGCGCATCAGCTCTCCGTTTCCCGCCCCCGCGCGCGCATCTGCTCTCGTGCGGCATCCAGGCGGACGCCCAATCTCGCCTAGGCGACGCCTTCCGACGCAAGGCGACGACATACGACCTTCGGTCGTGGCGAGCCCGACGCCCAGCTTCAAAAATCGCCTCGACGCCAAGTCGTCGCCTAGGCGACGCCTTAATAACTATGGTTATGCTACATTGGTATAATAAGACTATAAGCATACGAACTTATCAATTATTTGCAAAATAATAATATAAACTGCTGAAGTGCTGATGTCTTGGAGATGTAGGATGTAGGAATCTGAAAGCTATTTTTGAATGAATTTAGTCTCTTTTCTCTCAGGCTTCTAAAACTACTGTCGATTTTTAGACATAATTGTACTTTGTAATATTTCCCAGGCATATATGATGGAGCTGGAAGCTGAGGTGGCAAAACTTAAAGAGCTGAAAGATGAATTGCAGAAGAAGCAGGTATGCTCATACAATGTTTGCATTTTTATTTCTTGGGTCGCATTCATATCAACTTATGAAAGTATTTCTTCTGAAATAGTTTAATTAATATCCATACTTGAAATTGGGACTGTTTGGGATTCCAGAGAACCTTATGTACTTTAGCACATTGTCACATCTTTTTTATCAATACTTGTACATTATTTACTTTATTAGGTTTTCAAAAGGTCAAGTTATCATTTTCTTATTTTTATGTTTTGCCGATCACCATAGTACATTTAGTTTTCAGCAAAAGGAACTATGGAGCACTTTTTGTGATGATAATTTTAATGATAATCACCATAGAGCATTTGACAAAGTGAAATGCATTCAAAATCCATCAGATTAAAGAACCATAGAACTTTAGTGTGCATCTAGTTCATAAGAGTTGTCCTTTTCCTCTGTAATTTCCTCTTAAATTAGTTTACCAGCCAAAGAATTGTTATAACTGCCATTTATGACTAGTTGCTTGCCTGCTTTCTATGAAATCTTCTTCGATTCTGATTCATGTTAATATAGCTTATTGTCAATAATATTTCCGTTGAACTAGAACATGTGAGCTTTGCAGCCTCTTGTCTGACTATTTTCTGTGTAGTGCGATCGCAATCTTTACATATGTTTGTTTAGTAACCGACTATCTTTTCTAATTTGCAGGTCGAAATGTTGGAGAAGCAAAAGAATGAGGTAATTTCTTCCCATTTTGAAGAGGCTACTTTTGCTCTGGTTACATGTATAGGCTCTTTCGTTTCATTACTAGCAGCGAACTTGGTTGATGTAAACAATTTTTTTTCTACAATAGCAATTCTATAATCTGTTGATTCCCTTGTCATGAAGTATTACAGTCAACCCTATCAACATCATGAATATAGTATAGCTCAATGATCATATCACTTTGCCTCTTTTGTTTACTTGATTGGAAATGGATGGTTTGAAACCTCAACTATTATTGTTGAATAAAATAGAAGTTTTCTAAACTTGTGGTTTCTGTGACTTGGTTCATATGAGAAATGTTATAGTCCATTGACAGCTACTGATATCCAGAGAGTTCTGCGTTCAAACTATCAGTCTATCATGCTCATATTTGACTAAAGCAATACCTTGTATGTGAAATAAAGCTGTATAGAAACTGAAAAATGATTAAGGCCAGAACCGATGTGGATGTGATTAATTGTATTTTTCCTACAACTGGGGCTAAGGTGGTGGCATTTAAGCTGGTTAAATGATTTCAGAATTCTCTAAATTGATTGGCCAACTTCCACAACTGTTGTCGCCATGCAGTCTGTGCTTTTCTGTATGCAGTTTGCCTGTTGATACTAATGTTGTCTTGTAAAGTTACCTATGTTTTTGTCAATGTTTTGCTCAAGCTCTTCCCACTATTTGAATAGTTGTACTGTCTATTTGTGATCTTATGCTGATCTAAGAAAACTGAACGGCCAAGAAAATATGCAGCTCCTATTTTACCACCGGATGTTAAAAAAAATGTCTGTATAGTAACTGTCGTGGGTGTGCTGCTGTTATGAGAAATGAGACCAATAAGATTGATGGGCAATTGCATCTTCCTAGCTTCATTTCAAAATTATGCATAGTAAAGTTTCACGGTTATGGATTTTACTTGATTAAAAAAAAATCAGTGGATGTTGCTCTATCTGACATTCCATGAGATTCGTGGCCAATTTTATTTAGCTTTTTTTGTTGTGGACTGTCCACCCCCCCTGTTGACTAATCAGTATAAACTCTTCTGGAGACACCCTTTGTTTTTTATGCATGGTAAACCTCTATTTATTTGTTTTGTATAGACCTTTATGTTCTGACTCTTGCAAGTTTCAATTTACATAATTATGTTTTGCTAAAAAAGGAAAAAGGATTAGACCACTGCTGTTATTACCGAATCACTACTTCTGTACAGAAAAGCATACCTCAGATCCTGTTTGCTCAAACATAACAATGTTTTGATTGTTGTTGCAGGTCCTGGAGAGAATGAGACGGCAAGTTGGACCCACGGCAAAGAGAATTTGTCTGCGAAGGACATTGACAGGTCCGTGGTAAGCTGTAGATCTGTACGGCTGTACCTAGCAATATCACTCGTGAAGGAGTGTACGGAGTATATAGTAGGTGAAGATGAACACACAATGGCCAGAGTTGCCCTTGTTGATATAGCCATTAATCCAGAGCTTCAGTCCCGTAGGCGGGTAGATTGCCTGTGATTTTCACTTAATAGGTTTTGGCCATTTGCAAAAAATGTTCGGTCGAATAGAGGGTTTATATGTAGATTCAGTCCGGTCAGTTTATTGACCCGGTAGAGTGCTTATACTCCATACTGCTTCTTCAGGCTTTCTGGTTTGGTGTGATACCATATGACTCTATCATCAGTCCTTGTGCTTTGTAAAACCAATCTGTTTATGATGTAGACTTTAGAAGTGCAGATGTCCGTTGTGCCCAAACCTAGCCCTCGTTTAGATTGCAAGTTTTTTCATTCTATCTCCATCAACTCAAATTTTTGGACACATGCATGGAGTATTAAATGTAGATAAAAAAATAACTAATTACACAGTTTGATTGTAAATTACGAGACGAATCTTTTAAGTCTAGTTAGGCCATGATTGGACAATAATTGTCAAATACAAACGAAAGTGCTATCGTGCCAAATAGTGATTCCTAACCCCCAATCTAAACAAGGCCCTATATATCGTGCCAAATAGTGATTCCTAACCCTCAATCTAAACAAGGCCCTATAGACATTGCTTAAGAAAGGAGTATCTTGCTGTATACTTATCAGTTGAAGATGTTTGGTTTGCCACCCAGATTCTCGCCGGTCGCGTCGCTTTTGTTGTGCTTGATTGGAAGGGAATCAGACAATCAGTGAGTGCCTTCAATCATACGATGCTACAAACCTATGCATGGTCCCTGTGAGCTCGTGTGGTGTGCTTGGCCGGGAGCTCGTGTAGTGGTTCGGCTGGCCAGCAGTGGGACACGCAGGCGTGCCATGTTCGCTGTCGTGGCCGTCCTAATCGCAATTAACAGGACTCGCCGTCTAGACACGTGCAGTGTCGGAGGCATCTGTCAGATCAGTTGGCCATCTAGGTCCGTGTAAACGCATCGAGGAGCCCTGCATCGCCCGGCGCTCATGGAATCGGTCCTGAAGACGCCTGCTGCATTCCGGTACGGTGCAGACGACACAAGCTGAAGACGCCGTACGCCTCGGGTACAGACTACAGAGGAACCGTCGCTCGCTCCTCCAGTCCATCAGCGCTGGCTCGAGGTTACTCTGAATTATGCAAGACGAGAACGCATTAGCGCTGTAACCACATTGTTGTCTGTACTTCATTAGTTGATTAGGCAGGTGCTGGACCAGGGCCAAACAGTGCAGTTCAACAGACTGCGGTACTGCACCCGGCATCAGTATTGCTTGCAAGTGTCAATGCCCTTTGCCATTCAAGAGGAGCCACGGCCTGCACGGCGCACATCACTAAGACCTTGTTTAGTATCCTACTCATGGTTTAGACACATGCATGGTGTATTAAATATAGACTAAAAAAATAACTAATTTTATAGTTTTCGACTAATTTGCGAGACGAGTCTTGTAAATCTAATTAGCCAATGATTTGACAATGTGCTACCGGAACACATATGCTAATAATGGATTAATTAGGCTTAATAAATTTGTCTCACGGATAACTGACGGATTCTATAATTTATTTTTTTATTAATATCAAAACACGCCTCATATGACACTTCACGTGACTACCCTTATACTTTATGCCCTGAATTTTAACAGTGGGCCCTAAGTGGACTCCGGTGCGGCTCACAAAAAGCTGAAGTGGTTAGCGGACGACGGGACCTTGCACAAACGAGGTGCGTTACTGGCCAGCGGCTACCGTGATGCAGCCGTGCGCACCCCCACACTCCTCCCTGCCCTGTTGGCTCTTGCAGTCGGCAGCAGCTCAACGTGACATGGGCAGCGAGCATGGCGCGGAGCGAAGGGAGACGGCTAGACGAGCGCCGGAGCAGCTAAAAGACAGCTTCGCTGCGCCGAAACGACAGAAAGGGACAGCCAAACTCCAGACACCCTCTTCTCTTTCCCAGGCCATGTTTAGTTACTCCCAATTCCGAAACGACGAAAAAAAAAAAGATTCAGCAAACTCCAGACAAATCTTCTGAAATTAAAACTAATTGCCCATTCGTCCAGACGGATTGAACAATTATTACCAAATAAAAACAAAACGGCACTGTAGCTACAGTACCCCCGAAATTTCGGCGGCGCCGATTCGGTGCGTGAACTAAACACGGCCCCATTCGTCCAGACGGACCACAGCCTGTCGTCTCACTCGCAACAAACAATTCTCTGCAACACAACGCAACGCGCAGCACAGGGATGTGGCAGCTGCATCAACAACCTAGGTCTTATTTAGATTGCAAGTTTTTTCACTCTCTCTCCGTCACGTCAAATCTTTAGACACATGGAGTATTAAATATAAATAAAAAAATAACTAATTACACAGTTTGATTGTAAATTACGAGACGAATCTTTTAAGCTTAGTTAGGCCATGATTGGACAATAATTATCAAATACAAACGAAAATGTTACAGTGCCAAATACTGATTCCTAACCCCAATCTAAACACGACGCTAAAGGCAATTTTCCCAACCGATCAACCACACGGAGGAATTTCTTTGCACCTCTGCTGGTTTTGATGAAAATGTCTTTTTGATCTGCAGAACCAAGACAACTCTCCCAACCGATCCAATTTATTCTTGAAAATTCGTCTCCTTGCTCTTGATCTGTAAGACTATAGATTGAGAACAGATTTCAACTCTGAATTGACCACAGGTTGGTATCAAAGTTGAGGAACTGAGAAAGGATATACTATGAAGCATTCGGTTAAAAAAAACAGAGAGAAAAACATGTGTGCGTATTCACCTATGGTTGTTATCCGCAGTGTAGTAGAGAAAGACAGGGCACCAATCATTTGGGATGATGAAAATTAATCTGCCTCTTGATAGGAATCATATACATACATGGAGATTAAAAGCTAATACGGATAAAGGAAGCAAGAGGATTAATAATTAACCAAAGTAATTAGGCATGATGTTTGAAACAAAGTTGTTTAGCAGTCTAAGATAAGGTGGAAGGCGGCGCCCCACCAAACCTAACATAAATTCCTCGAGGCGATCGGCGATTGGGGATTCATTGGGGATTCCTTCCTTTTGCTGTTCTGCATCTCGAATGATTGATTTTCTCTCCTCCCGATGCAAGGTAGCGGGTAGCGGCGGCCATGGCGCCGCCGTCTCCGAGAGCTCAGTGGCGGCTGAGCGTGGACAGCGCAACCACCTGCGCCCACTGCTTCAGCCGCATCTTCACCGTCTCCGGCGGGTCGCCTGCATGAACGAACGGGTCAGATAGATATCGAAACTATAATCACGTCCAAATCCCGTTGCATTTGGATCGACACATAAGAGGTTAATTGCATACAACAAAACCTCGCACAGCGAAAAAAGTACTGTACTATCAGATTAGATGCGAGCACGCCGGAGATTACCTAGAGAGAGTATGGACATGGGGCTGCCGAGCGGCGACTCTTCGGAGGAGACCTCCGACGCGGCACCGCACGAGCACGTCAATCCCTCCGCACCGCCCGCTCCGCCGTGGACGGCGTAGTAGAGGTCGAGCGCGGGCAGCGTCTCCAGGAGGCGGTTCCTCCCGGCGCAGCCGCACGCCGCGCACCCGGAGCCGGAGCCGGCGGGGGCCGGCTCGAAGCCGAACCCCAGATCGATGCACCCGCGGAGCTCGTCGAGATCGTCGTCTGTGACGCTCCGGACGCGCCGCAACGCCGTGCCTCCGCGGCGCATGCCCCGGCGCCGGCGCTCCCACGCCTCGTCGCGCTCGATGTCCGGCGACCACGAGTTCTGCTTCTGCAGCCCTAGCGCGGGCGCCGCGGCAGGCCCCGCCTTCTTCCCGGCGCCGCCGCCGATAAGATGGCGTTGCCCCGCCTTCTCCATGGCCACGGGGGCACTGCTGCCGTATACCCTCCCACCTCCCCTCCGCCCCCGCGCAAGGCGAAGGGGGGACTTGGAGAAGCGAGCTTCGAGGTGGGTGGAGGCGGCCGCGGCGGATTTTATCCCTCCCCTCCGTCGCTGCGTTGGCGTAGCGGATGCTGCGTGACGTCTGCCGACGTAACGAGCCGTATATAGAGAGAGATCGTACCTTCCTTGTACACCCTGGGCATGACATCGAATCGAACGGTGGATTTTTTGAACTGGAAGGCAGCAAGGGTAATTATTAGGCATTGATTTCGGTCACGGGAGAGGGTTGCAGGGATGAGAAAAGGACGGCAACAAATTTTGCGCTGACACTTATGGTTATATAAATGGCATTTTTTGAAATGAGCTGTTTGAGTTTTTTCTTGTACAAATTGGAAACCTTCGTCGATCCAGCCATGCAAGCACACATTATGGTTCAACCACCTCTTGGTAACGTTCCATTTTGAGCTCCAGTACGTACCAAAATTACCCTTCGCAACATTTATTTTTTTCTTTTTTGTGGCGATCTACCCTTCGCAACATGACCAATGTCAGGCATGAATTTGCAAGCAAATTCGAACGGTTTTAGTTCAGATCTTAATCTCGCGGTGTATAGCTCACGAACCTAGTTTAACTAGGCCCGGCACGCTTTGATGGAGCAGTTCGCGAGTGGAAAAAGGCGACAACAAGCTAGGACACGCGATAAGTAGGGCGGTAACTGCTACCGGTCCTTGACAGCGGAGAGGGTGGAGGGCAGCTTTTCGGGCGCTAGCGACGTCACGGTCACGTCTACTTCTTTTATAATTCATTTTTTTAGCTTTGTTTTTAGGGAATAATAATTTTTTTCCACAACAAAATAGTTGATTTATTTTTTCAAGCGAAACTAACGGGGCCGTGATCATGTGCGTGAGGCGTCGTTGAGACTTGCTTGCGGAGTAAGAATGGATCGATCGATCTGCCAATCGAGTCCTCCATGATTACGCACGCAGTACATATATCAACAAGTTCTGTTCTCTTACGTATATCAACAAGTTCTGTTCTCTTATTGCACCTCGCCATCAATCGCAATCTCGAGACAAGATCGCAGAAATATCTGCAGGTCGATATATCACCGCATACGCAGCATGTTTGCTCGGTCGTATTTGGCTTATCAGCTAACGAACAATATTTTTCTCTCATATCAAAC